TAAAAAAGGAAAATAAATGGAGGGATTAAAGAGCAAGAGTTTTCTATTGAATTTCTATTCTTTATTAAATAGATGTCTTATGGGTAAGTGCCTACATTAAATTCTGTTATTGTGGCATAGTACTAGTCCCTGCCTTATAATATTCTGGACTCAGCCCCTACAAAGGGAATCCTGATTTATTTTCTTACATTTCACTTGATAGTGCCTTGGTCTAATCGTGCCTCTTATTCTTATGAAGAACTATCTCAGACCTAATTGTGTTCTGGCTTCAATTTATCCTTCTATTCTTAGGCCATCTTTATTTTGTTTTCCCATCTTTTACTTGCATTCCCCATTTTAAAAAAATCCATTTTTCTGGGGCGATGAGATAGTATAGCATGAAAGGTGCTTGCCTTACACATGGCCCATCCTGGGTTTAATCCCCCAGAACCCCATATGGTCCCTTGAGCCCCACTAAGAGTGTTCCTTGAGTAACAGAGCCAGGTGTAAGCCCTGAGCACCAACAGATGTAACCCTGAAACAAAATATAATCAATTCGTCCCCCCCTTCCCTTTGCTGTTGCGATGATGATACATATATTCCTACTGGTTGTGGTGCTCATGCACATTCTAGTTATAGTGCTCAGTAACAGTTTCTGTGGTGTTCACAAAGGTGCTTGCCAGGAGTCATACTTCTGGCTGTGTTGCCACACTTCTTAACTTGCAGGGTACATACATTCCTGGTCAGTGGTGCCCGAGAGAATGCCTTTTAGCACTGGATGTCCTAGATGGCAGAGTTGTAGGGACTGTGTTTGGCATATCTGGCGCAACTTGTGGACTCATACTTGCAAGGCAGCCACTTATATCACTAAGGCCATTCTCTAGGGACACCCCCTGCATTAAAATATTTTAATATTTTTAGTTGTTTTTGAGATCCAGCTGACATAAAATCTATCATATTTAAATTGAGTTTAGTAGTGATTTATACAAGCATGTACATTGTGAAAAATTCCCATTATCTAGTTATTAACATTTCCATTACCTCTTACATTTAATTTTGTGTATGTTCAAAAGCATTTAAGTCATACTCTTAGATATTTTCAATTTTATGAGATAGCATTATCAATAGTATTTACTGTGTTTTATGTTAGGTGTTCAGACTTTATTTCTCTTACATAAGAAACTTTGTACTCTTTCACCAACCTCTCCTCTTATCCCCACATCTCAGTCTGTAACAACTATTTTTCTGGTCTTGTTTCTGTAAGTTTGACATTTTTTTTTAGTTAAAGATTTCCCATATAAGTTAGAACATACAGTATTTGTATCTGACTTATTTCACTTACCGTAATTCCTTATGTGTCCATCCATGTTAATGCAAATGCTCGATTTATTTGCATGACCACATAACATTTCATTATATAACTATATCTCATATTACTTATCCATTCACCTTTTGATGTAATTTAGAATGTCACGTGGTTTTTGTGACTAATGCTGCAAACAATACAGGGATGCAAGTATATCTTTGAGACCCTGCTTTTAATCTTATTTAATTTTTTATTTTTGGGCCACAATCAGGTTGCTCAGAGCTTACTTCCTGCTCTGTGTTCAAGGATCACTCGTGATGGTGGTTGGGGTATTGTATATATGTAGTATTGTATATATGTATATTGTTTATATGTATATATGTAGTATTGGGGTCGGCTGTTGTTGCTATACTAGCTCTCCGGCTTGAGTCTGTATATACTTCCTGTGGCTATATTCCCAGAATTTAAATTGCAGGATCATAAGGTTTATTTATTATTTATCTTTGTTTAATGCATATCACCCCTAGTGGTGCTCTGGAGACTCTGGAACCACTGTGGTGAAGCTTAGCCTGTCAGTGGAGGAAGGGATACCATGCATTGGCTGGGATTGAACTCAGGGCCTCACACAGCCTAAGCATATATGTTCTACCATTTTGTGCCATATCCTTGGACCTACTTATTTATAATTTCTCATTATATTTTATGTTTATTTTATAATTTCTCACTGTTATTTATAATTTCTCAAGTTTTTCATAGTGTTGCACCAGTTTATGTTTCTGCCAACAGTGTACAAGGACTTTCTTTTCTTAAGATGGTAGTCATTGGTAGGTGCTGGCACTATCTTGTGATTTTCAGTTCCTTTTCTTTGATAATTAGTGATATGTTGATCTTTTCATCTGCATTAGTGGGCCATTTATATGGTTTCCTTGAAAAAATGTCTATTCCATTTCTCTGCCCATTTGTAAATCTTACTGCTCTTTCCTTTTTCTTTTTTTTGCTTTTCTTTGCTTTTGGTATGTTATATCACTGTCACTGCCCTCCTGTTGTTCATCGATTTGTTCAAGCGGGCCCAGTAACATCTCCATCCTGAGAATTGTTGTTACTGTGTTTGTCATGTCGAATACATCAGGGGTAGTTTGCCAGGCTTTGCTGTGCGGGTGAGATACTCTTGGTAGCTTGCTGAGCTCTCCAAGAGGGGCAGAGGAGAAATCGAATGCGGACCGCCCTGGCTGGCTGCGTGCAAGGCAAATGCTCTACCTGCTGTGCTATCATTCCTATAAGCTCTTTAGATATTTCTTTTTTGCTTTGAGATTTGGGACCCCACATGTCTCTCCTTAGGACTTATTCCTGCCTTTGTGCTCAAGGATCACTCCTGGCTGTGCTAAGGGGACCATATGTGGAAACATGTGATGCTGGGGATAGCACCAATGTGTGCAATGCAAATGCCTTACCCATCATACTCTCTCTGGCTCCTTCAACTCTAGTTATTGTAGAAATTAATTCCTTATCAGATAAATGATTGGCAGATATTTTCTCCTGTTCAGTAAATTGACTTTTCATGGATTCCTTTACTGAGTCACAGTTGTAACGTTTGCTCTTGTTGCCTTAGATGCTATTGAATTTTTAATTCTTGGCCATGGGTTAACTGTTTTTCTTCAGTTTCTACACTCTCAAAATCATTCAAGCCTTTGCTTTTGTTGACTACAAAGTTTTATATTAACGTGTGTGACCACTTACTCTATTTCCTAGAATGTTGTTCAAATACTGTTTCCATTATAAATGAAGAGATTAGCATCTTTTGATGATCACCTTCCCTCTCTTTTTTATTTGAAAAGAGTTTATTTTGGATTTGTTTTATTTTGTTTGTTGGATCTCTCTGGCAGCGCTATCGAGGCCATAGATGTCAGGGATCAAACCCAGGTCCTTGACTGGAATGTACTTCAGCCCTATAAACTATCTCCCCAGCCCCAGAAAATTTATTTTGGGAATCAGGGGTGTGGAGCATGTACCTTGCATGTGTGAAGTAGTGGGTTTGATATTGAGGGAGATATGTTCCCTCCCCGAGCCAGCACGGCTGAGTTTTCCCCCAAGTAAGGCTCCTGAGCATATCACCCAAGTGTGATCCCCCATCAAGAATTAATTTGGGGTGATGGAATATTTGAAGAAAATAAGGGATTATTTATCTCAGGAACATGAACAGGCAAGATAATAATGAAGGGTAACATCCACTTTAGGTTTCAGGTTTATTTTTCCATTGCCTTAGAAATATCAGATATATTTGCATTTCTGTTAATTAAAAGCACAGAATGCATGTCAAGTTATTGGTCCTTTTAGATAATCTGTTAATATTGATGAAAGTATATTTTGAAATAGAATGTATACAATAGGAGCACACTAAATTATATGAGAGAGTAAATTCAACAAACAAAAACAGTAACACAAAATACTCAACTAGCAACAAAAGGCTTAGTAAATTCTCAGATAAGGAATTAGCATCCTGATAATTAGATATAACAATTTTCATATAAAATTGACTTTTTTAAAAAAAGGAAAAATTTTGAATTTTTAATACTTACTGATCTTACTGATTTTAACATTGTAACTTTGTAACATTGTAATCAGATTCAACTCAAGAATTTGAGTTGTATCAATAGTTTAATATCTACATTAAAGTTAATTTTAAAAAATACTAAGAAAGTAGAAATATAACATTTGTGTGTGCTTTGCTATAAGAAACAAATGCAATTTGCTTGACAATAGCAGTAAAGAAATATGATACTTGGGGTACAGTGCTGCTAGGTGATCAACCTGTACCCACGGGGTGAGTGCATCAACAGCCTGATAGTGCCTTCTGGCTTCCTGATACCCCAGAATTGCTTCTCTACCTCTGGAAACAACTTGGGACCAAGTTTCCCAAGAAATTAAATGGCCAAGTTAGGTATGTGGGAGCCTTGCCCACAGAACACCTCCAGCTCACTGTACAAGCTCATTTATCGACCTTGCTTCAGAGACCCATAAATAAATCTCAAAAGAGATCAAAACCCACAGTTAATTTCGAACCAGCACAAGGCTGAACAGACTGGGATAAATCAGAGGAGGGCAGGTCAGCCTGGTGTCCACCCAAGCAGAGCCCCCACAATCCAAAATTGCTGCCATGTACCCAGCTGGACTCCACTGTCTCAAGACAGACCTTACCGAGATATTAACCTGTTGAAAATTCAGATATGTGGGTTTTGTGACTGAAATCTCCAGGCTTTCTCAGAGTCAGGATGGGCTATCTCCCTACACCCCTCTGTACTTCCAGAAACCTCAGTAGTCACATCCACATCCCAAAGCTGCCACCCAGTTAAAAATTCTGCTCCAGCCTTACTTTCCTGATGATAATACTTGAACTCTTAATACCTGTATTGCAAACCATAATGTACAATAGGAGAGAGAGAAAGAAGAGTGTCTGCCATAGAGATAGGACAGGAGCTGGGGGTGGTGTTGGGGGATGGTGGGAGGAAAATGGAGGACATTGGTGGTGGGAAATTGTACACTGGTGGAAGGATAGGTGTCAGATCATTGTATTACTGAAACCTAATCATGAACAGCTTTGTAACGGTGTATCTCATGGTATTCAATAAAATTAAAGAATAAATAAAATTGGATATATGTTTAGTTATCTATATGTTGATGGTTCCATACTTAAAAAAACTTTTTTAATTTCTTGCAGTAATCCTAAATCGGAGAGTCAGAGAGTAAATAAAAAAGTCAACAATGATGCCTCACTCAGAATTCATAATCTATCCATTTTGGTGAGACAGATAAAATTTTATTATCAGGTAAGTGCTCTCATATTCATTCAGTATTTTAACAACTTCTTATGTAACCAAAATTTATATTACATATTATCAGTCATCTAGCAATATCAAATGCCTATTATATATCATACACCAGTCTGTTTGCTGGATATAGTAATTTAGTTAATATGTGATATCAAAGATACAAGTAAGTATATTATATTTATCTAATCTTACAAATACTATGGCTACATGTTTTTAACACTGTTTCCTAGTTTCCTGAGAACCTGCATAATTCAGTCTTCAATCATGCCTTTGAAAATGTACGTTGTCCTCCTAAATCTTTTATTTGGAAGCATATTTCTGAGTTTAAATGAGGACACTTAAACCTGTCAGTATACCTTTATGAAGCACTAAAGCTGTATCAACACAAATTTTGTTGTGGTGTTTGTTTTATTTTATTCTGGACAACTCCCCCTACACTTCTCCGGGATTCAGGGACCACTGCCATGTGATACTTTACCAGAAGACTGCACCTATGCTTAGGACCAGTGATGTTGGGGACTTCAGGGCATTCATGGAACCATATGTTGCTTGGAATTGGAGATCAAACTCAGGCCTCACACATAAACAGAGATGGATATGTCTCTGTTCCAGCAACTTTTGAGCTATTTCCCTAGTTTCTATTGTATATTTTTCTTCTTATTGGTTAAAAGTTTTTTAGTCTTCTCTTTTTTTAGAGGCCATTTCAATATTCTTCTTTTCAAACTTAATGTAGTAAAGTCAAAACTTGTCACTATTTACTCTTCTGTGGACTTGTACTTAGAGTACTATCAGATAATAGTATGTAATAGATCTAATACTAGTTATTTAATAGATCTTAGAGTGCTTTGATTTCACTCATTCTTTCTCTTGACATTTAAGCTGTTCTTATTTTATATTTTAGTTCTGTGTTTTTAACTTCAAAAATGGGATTTTTAACTGTTAAAGTATTTTTTATTTAGATAATGTTTTCTTCCTCACTCCCCTTTGTTTTCTTTTGTATATGAGTTCCACCTTTGATATAATTTTTCTTGAGTGCTTAAAGGGGTGGAGCGATAGCACAGCGGTAGGGCGTTTGCTTTGGGCGCAGCCGCCTGGCTGAGCCGGGTTCAATTCCTCCGCCCCTCTTGGAGAGCCCGGCAAGCTACTGAGAGTATCTCGCCTGCATGGCAAAGCCTGGCAAGCTCCCCATGATGTATTCAATATGCCAAACACAGTAACAAGTCTCACGATGGAGACATTAGTGGGCCTGCTCGAGCAAAACGATGAACGAGAGGACCGTGACCATGAGTGCTTAAAGAATGGAACACATTATTACCATGTTTATATAGAGATAATATCTTGTTAATAAAGTTTCTCGATGTTTATTTGTCTCAAAATGCCTTAAATTTATTCTCATTCTTGAAAAATAGTTTTTCTGGGTATACAAGTTCTAGGTTAAATTTTACCCCTTAGTAGTCCAAAAAAAAAGATTTTGCTCTGTCATTGAATATTTTGTTATAGAAAAGGCATCTATCTGTCTTTTTTGTTTTTAAAGATATAAACTAATGGCAATCTTAATAATTTTGCCAGAAGGTAAGGGGACTTAAAATTAGAATAAAGTAAAATTTTTTCTTTCCAATTTGCTGTTACTTTGATTCTATATTGAGATAATGCTTTTAATGTGAAACATGGATTTATTAAGTACCCAAACTCTATTATTTCTTAATATAAGTGATTGTAGCAATTTTTGCCACTTATTCTAATAATCTTACGTAGCATGATACATATATTCAATATGTACTGTAAACATATAATTATTTCTGATGGTAGATATCTTAAAGCAAAAACGTGCTGAAGACAAGTTTTCTTTATTTATTCTAATACATACCTATAAATATGTATTAGAATAATATGTAAATAAATATGTATTTATTCTAATACATATCTATAAAAATGCATAGACAAAAGATTTATTTTATTTTTTGTCTTTTTGGGTCACGACTAGCGTCCACAAGTTAATCTTGGTTCTGCGCTCAGAAATAACTCCTGGCTGTGCTCAGGGGACTATATGGGATGCCAGGGATCATAAACCTGGGTTGGCTGCATGCAAGGCAAACACCCTGCCCACTGTACTATCGCTCTGACCCCTTCTTTTGTTTTTTTAGATTAATTTTAATTTAATAATTTTCATAAGGCTCATACTAGGCATTAGCTCTGGGGAAGAGCTTTAGTGGAATTATGCAACTTTATTTTTGTTTTTGGCTCATACCTAGTAGTACTCAGGTTCTGTGTACTTCTTCTGGTTCTGTGCTTGAGGTTGCTCATGGCAGTACTTAAGGTATATGAAATGCCAGTGATTGAACGCAAGCCTCCTGCTTGCACTCAGTCCATTTATTACCTCTCAGGTTCAGAATTACACATCTCTAAGAGCAATACAGATGATTTGTTTCATGGTTATTTTCTTTCTTATCATTGTATTATATACGGAATGATTTGGAAAGTTTAATGCTTAGAGAAACATGTTTCTAAATATTTAGTTTAATATCTGAATATGTAGTGACAACCAAGTTGTAGAGAAGCCAATTATTTCTGTAATACCTGAAAGATTCAGTAATAACACATGACACCCTGTGGTCTTATCTCATATCCTTTGTAGCATGTCATTGTTAGTAATTGATAATGATATAATTTTTAATAAAATAATTTCTCTGTTAATTTTAATATCAATTAGGATTTTTAAGCTGTCCCAAAGAGAAATCATAAAACAAAGCATATGCATGCTTGATCTTTCATTGAGGATTATCAATTGATTAATAATATTTGACTAGTTTATGATTAACAATTTATTCATAGTTGAGTTTTGGCATTCTATTTTCCAGCACCAGTTCCACCACCAGTGTTGTCTTTGCAGTGTTTTTTTGCAGTGTACTTAATAAAAGTGCACAGATCATAAGTTATAGCTTGTTGAATAATTACTGTATAAGCATTATCCCTATAACGGTCACTGGTATCTTTTTATAGGAGACTTTGCAGCAGTTGATCATGATGTCATTGCCGAATGTCTTAATTATTGGCAAAAATCCCTTTTCTGGTATGTATGAAAATGAATATAGTCTCATCTTCGTGTGAATGTGCTTGCTTACTAGGATCATGTGTGTCTATAATTGTCATTTAAGTTACTTCTTGGCTCTACATAGCAGAAAGCCATTTAAATTATGCAGATAGATAAATCAGCGATCCATTTTAGAAAAAATATACTAATAATATAAGCAACAAATTATAGAGAAAAATATATAAGTATATGCCTCTCGGAGAGTTCATCAAACTACTGAGAGTATCCCACCCACACGGGCAGAGCCTGGGAAGCTCCCCGTGGCGGATTTGATATGCCAAATACAGTAATGACAACAGATCTCATTCCCCTGACCCTGAAAGAGCCTCCTATCATTAGGAAAAGACTAAGACTAGTAAGAAGAGGCTGCTAAAATCTCAGGGCTGGGAAGTATAGAGACATTACTGGCGCCCACTCAAGTAATTTTATGATCAACAGGATGACAGTGATACAGTGATACTAATAATCTTAAAGGAAGCCAAGCCTGTAAGGAACCATTCTGACTGAATTTGACATGTTTTTATAATAGTGGGCGTTTGCCTTGCACACGGCCGACCAGGCCAACCAGAGTTCGATTCCTCTGCCCCTCTCAGAGAGCCCTGCAAGCTACCAAGAGTATCTCGCCTGCACGGGAAAGCCTGGCAGGCTACCCGTGACATATTCGATATGCCAAACACAGTCACAAGTCTCACAATGTTACTGGGCCCGCTCAAGCAAATCAATGAACAACAGGAGGCCCGTGACCGTGACCATTTATAATAGTAGCTCTTAACTTGGTAGTCTAGGTTAGCATAATTCATAAATTTATAGTAAGATGTTAAATAAAGACGTGAAGACTGTTTTACTTATATTTCTGCCCTTCAAAATTGAGGTCCTCATCTATTTGTTCTGTTACATTGTACATATGAAAGCCTTCTTTTTTATATCCTGCACTGTAGTTAGAATAGTGGTTATAATTAAAACTTAAATCTGTGGATCATATTGTTGTGGGGAATAATCTCCATAAGTGATTTTATCAGTAAGAGAGTTTTATCAATAAGGCAATTGCACTGGAGTAAATGTAGTAATTGTTTTATTTTTGCAGAACAAGGCACAGAAGAAGTTAAAAAGTTGCTTTTACTTTTACTGGGTTGTGCAGTTCAGGTAAGTTGAAATACTCTCTGTGTTTTCATTTTGATGTCTTTTAAATTTTTTTGAGTGTAGTTAATGAAAGACTTAAAGGTAGATTACTGGTTTTCAGCCTGTATTTAAAAAATGTAAATAATTATATATCCTCCTAAGGAGATTTTGAAAAAATATACTGAGAATTCTCGCCATGGCCTGCAGGTTTTCAATTACTATTCACGATAACCTTAAAAGCCTGTCAAAGGAGCCATGGAGATAGGTAGGGGGACTGGAGTACATACATTGTATACAGAGGGCCCAGATTTGATCCCACATTTCCCCCAGGCGCTGCTAGGAGTGACCCCTAAATAAGAGCAGAACAGCCCTTGAATACTGCTATATGGGGCCTCAAAACCGGACCAAATCAAACCAATAAAATTCAAGGCGTTTTTGATTTATATACACATAGGTGTGTGTTATTCAAAGTAAAGGGATTTAACAATAAAAGCAATGCAAAAATCATGAAAATTTTTTTTAAGTTTTGAATCCTTTCATCAATTACTGTATTATAATAGTTCTGATATCTTGAATGCTACTTTTGTTAGTTGTGGTACCTTAAATAGGTCTTCTTGTAATACCTTTTTGAGATAAAGTGATATGTGCATAAGCAAACTGATATTTTGATTGTTATTCAAATTAAGACACTTCTGTCAGGAAGATTCTGTTAACATTGATAATGGAACTGCATGTTTAAATTGGAATTGTTCCAAGGTGGTGACTCAAGATTTTGGTTCTGTTACTAATTGAATAACAGACAGGCTTCAAAACCTAACATACTTATTTATCTTCCCTTTGTTATTATTGGGTGTAGTGGTTATAATTTGCAAGCAAATCAATAATATGACCACTAGGAATTGTTCATATACATATAAATTATTACATGTTCAAAAGAGTGTTGGCTTTTAGGGGCTGGAGAGATAATACTGTGGTTAAAGCACTTGCCTTGCACAAGGCCAACCTGAGTTCAATCCCTGGTACCACAGATGGTCCACCGAGTCCCACCAGGAATTATCCCTGAGCTCAGAGCCAGGAGAAAGCCCTAAGAACCACTGTGTGTGGCCCAAGAGCCCGCCCCCCCAAAAGAAAAACAAAGAGAAACAAAAGAATGCTGGCATTTAGAGTTGACTACTTGATTCTAAAGTGTGTGTTATTAAAATTTCTGGCTGTGTAATATAGACAATTATATTTTTATAATTAAGTACTGCCATACTAAAAAATCTGTTTGACACAGAAGTTTTACTTATCAGGATTATTGCAAACGAATTATCAGAAAGGCACACAAAGATTTATTCACAAGGAGCTCTGCGTTTGATCCTAGACCCCATCCCTGAGCACCACCAAGATTGCCCTCCACTGTAGCACTGTACAGCGATAGCACAGCGGGTAGGGCATTTGCCTTGTAAGTGGCCAACATGGCTGACCTGAGTTCGATTCCTCCGCCCCTCTCAGCCCAGCAAGCTACCAAGTGTATCTTGTCCGCACAGCAAAGCCTGGCAAGCTACCTGTGACTTAGTGATATGCCAAACACAGTAATAATTGTTACAATGTAGACGTCACTGGGCCCGCTCGAGCAAATCGATGAACAATGGGAGGACAGTGACAGTGATAATTAAGTACTAAGTTAAGTTACGTTTTAGTCATTTGCTATTCTGATTTCATAATCAAATCTGAGTTAGAGATGCATTTCTTAATTATTTGCAGCCTTTGTGTCCTGTATTTGTTTTTTTAAAATATCATCTGTTGATGAATGTTCTGTAAACTTAAGTATTTTTAAGCATAAGCATTTTTAAGCATAAATATTTTTAAGCATCAAATTTAAGCATAAATTTGATTGTTACTTTTAGTTATTATTTGGTTGTTGCTGATTGTTAAAAATTTATCATGGTGATGTGATAAAACTAAAAGCTTTTAAAATGAACAGTTAGCTTAAGGAAAGCCTCAAAATTGTATTAAAAAATTTGTTGGGGCTAGAGAGATAATAGAGCCAGTAGGGCACTTGCTTTGCATATAGCATACCCAGGTTTTCACATACCATTTTCTGAGCACTGCAAGGAGTGAGTCCTAATCTTAGTACCAGGAATGAATCTTGAGCACCTTTGGGTGTGGCCTAAAAAGCAAAAATAAACAAAAACAAAACATTTTTAGTGCCATCAATAATAACAAGATGGATTTTTATATCTAAGCTGCTTTCTCCTACCTTTCTGTTTATAACTCACATGATCCAGATGCTAGAAATGTAAAGAATGGCATGTAATAATATTTCTTTTTTCTGGCAAGCTGAAGTTTTTGATATTCACAGTTAGTGTTTCTTAAACAAATTTGCCAGATTTCTTAGTTTTCGGGGCCAGAGTGGCAGTACAGCAAGTAGGGTGTTTGCCTAGCACGCAACCAACCTGGCTTCAACCCTTGGCATCCCATATGGTCTCCTAAGCATTGGCAGGAGTAATTCCTGAGTGCAGAGCCAGGACTTATCCCTGAGTACTACCAGGTATGACACCACTGAAAATAGTTTTTATAGTCACTTAGTTTTTATAGTCACTAGTTTTTATAGTCACTTAGTTTTATAGTTTTTATATTCATAACTTAAAACATCTTTACATCTTTACCAAATAAAATAATGTGTAATTTGCATATTTTTCTTAAGCTTGTTAATGAAGTTATCCCCAGCAGTCACTACTTGTTTTTCTACCTTCCAGAATTTTATTTTGTTAAAACACCATGAATTGCAAATTTTCATAGCTGGAGCGATAGCACAGCAGGTAGGGCGTTCGCCTTACACGCGGCCAACATGGCCGACCCGAGTTCGATTCCTCCGCCCCTCTCGGAGAGCCCGGCAAGCTACCGAGAGTATTCGATATGCCAGACACAGTAACAACAAAGTCTCCAATGGAGACGTTACTGGGCCCGCTCGAGCAAATCGACGATTAACGGGAGGGGGGATTTTTAACATACAATGTTCCATCACCAGTCTCAACTTCCTTCCACCAGTGTTTTCAGATTCCCTCTCTTAACCCTCCACCCCAGCCCCAGTCTGTCATCTTGACAAGCATCTTTTCAATCTGGTTATTACAGTTTGGGTCTCAGGATTATCACTGTTGTTGGCTTTATTGTTTGCATATTTACCTCTGTCATTCCTTGACACTACCCAAATATCTGAAAGAGTCACTCCTTAGTAATGACAAATACTATCATGATCACTACCATCCTGTTGTTCATCGATTGCCTCGAGCAGGCCCCAGTAACGTTTCCTTCATCCTAGCACTGAGATTTTTTAAAAAAGTGCCATATTCAAGGCTCTTTCAGGGTTAGGAGAATGAGACCCATCATTGTTACTGGTATTTGACATATTGGGTACACCACGGGGAGTTTGCCAGACTCTGCCATGTGGGCAGGTTACATTTGGTATCCTGCCAGGTTGTCCAAAGTAGGAATGAGATAATAAGATGTCGCGCGGCCGCATTTGCGGCCGTGCACTTCCAGGACCTGGGTTTTATAGTCTCTGGGTCTTGGCCATTGATGGGATTACACGGCATCAGGGGGTCAGTTGGTGGGTGTGACCCCTGCCTACTGGAAGATGGAGGATCTGGGTGGAGGATGCTCAGCCTCGATCCGAGCAGGCTTGGAGATCTCAGCCCCGCGACCCGCATGCCTTTGTTCCTCTGCCAGTACCTTCATGCGTGTGGAGAGTTGTCTCAGCATGGTGGTGGCTGGTTCTGGAGGTCTTCTGCTGCTGGAGCCCTGGTCAGGGCGGGGAGCGAAACTCAACCCACTCCCCTTCAAGGGGCCCCAGCGATGACAGCCAGGCGCAGGGGAAGGAGACTGTTTAACAAATACTATATTCCTTCTTATTGATGCACAGAATTAAGTATTGCATATAGCAAAAAAGTCATTGTCACTGTCACTGTCCTCCCATTGTTCATCGATTTGCTCAAGCAGGCCCAGTAACGTCTCCATTTGAGACTTGTTGTTACTGTGTTTGGCATATCAAATACGTCACTGGTAGCTTGCCAGGCTTTGCCGTGTTGGCGAGATATTCTCGATAGCTTGCCAGGCTCTCGGAGAGGGGCGGAGGAATTGAACCTGGGTAGGCCAGGTCGGCCATGTCCAAGGCAAACGCCTTACTTGCTGTGCTAAACCTATTCACTTAAAGAGCCTATGTTCTAAAATAGTTTACATTAATGTCAGCATTGTGTCAAGTTTTATAGGAATCTTTGAGTTTACTAATTTTTTCAGTAATGTATTAGAAGGTTATTATTACCTGTACTTGAAATTTATACCTGAGAAAGGTTTATAGTTAGATATTATTTCTCAAAAGAAGTCTCTTTTTGAAGAGAAAGGATGACATACTTTGGGGGTCTGGGTTTGACCCACTCATACTGGTGCTCAGGGCTACTTCTGTTCTTGGTTGCCCTTGGGGTCAGCTGCATGTAAGATGTGCTAGGAGTTTTTGCTGGTGGCACACAGAGGACCATATATGGTGTTGAAGATTCAAATCAGAGTCAGCAGGATGCAAGGTAATGCCTTACCTTTGTACTATTTCTTTGGTTCCCTTTGGTGAAATTCTTAAGTGGACGTCTTTCAAAACTGGTCAAATTAGCCACTATTCAACTATATTTGTGTCAGAATAAATTATAATTAGGACTTTCTATTCCTTGGGTATACAATAATAGAAGCCAATAAATAACTGTAAGAAACTGTTAAAGATTTGGACTGGCATATTTCCATTATTGACTGACTAAACCATTTCAGTTCCTTCAGAATTAGGGCTGGAGCGATAGCACAGCGGGTAGGGCGTTCGCCTTACACGCAGCCAACATGGCCGATCCGAGTTCGATTCCTCAACCCCTCTCGGAGAGCCCGGCAAGCTACTGAGAGTATTTGATATGCCAGACACAGTAACAATAAAAGTCTCCAATGGAGACGTTACTGGGCCCGCTCGAGCAAATCGACGATCAACGGGAGGGCCTTTACCTTTACCTTTACCAGAATTAAAAAAACAAATCAGGGGATATACCAGTCTCTTGAACTACTTCTGCGCATTAGATAGATACATGACTCTTCACTTTCTCCACCTCAGAGGACTCTGAGAATACCCAAGTGAATCTTATCCTACACAAAAGGATTTTATTTTTGGAAAAAGTTTTAATTACCATGTAAAATTCATTTTGTTTCAGAAAAACTTAGGTTTTATGTCAGTACTAGTATTTGTTATCCATAAATACTACTTTCTTATTTTGGACTTTGACCAGGTTGTTTAGTTGCTAAAAGTAAATGCATGTCAAATGCAGTTGAAATTAAAATTCTCACTTTCATGTGTGCTCTCAGAAGCAATTCTGACACCATATGATTCAGAAAGCCAGTGGGTTATTGGTGGAGTGGGGTCAAGCAAGCTTCTTCAGCATTGTTTGAGGGACTGCAAGACCACACCTGACCTTGAACTTTGGGATCTTGTCTGTGGGAGGCAATAACTCCACTATTTCAGGTCTTCTCTCTGGTCCAGAAAACCAGTTTTGAATATGGTCAGCCAGAGTATTGCACTATTGAGCTTTATCCTCAGCCAAACCAGACTATTTTAATATTCTAAGTATTCTATAGCTGTGTTATTTACACAGTAGCTAGTAGTCATATGTGCTCTTTAAATTAGAATTAATTTAAAATTGATTTTAGAAATGCCAGTTCAGTTTCTCAGAAACACTAGTTATGTTTCAAGTATTCAGCAGCTTCACACGTAGGTAGAGATTACTGTATCAGATAATATTGATAAAAATATTTCTGGTTATTTATCTTCAAAGTTTGATTTTCTCTCATTCTCATTCATCTGGATCATTTTTTTTCTTTGCTTCAAGATCCTATGAAATTTATATTCTTTAAAAAAGCTTAACCTATTTATAAAATAGTTTCAGATTTCTTAAGCTTATAATTTGTAGTAAAGGAGAGTTTTAGTAATAGTTATAACCCTGCCATTTTTAACATATAGGTGGACATTTTTGAAAGAATTTTATTTAAAAATTGGGGTTACATTTTTTTTGTGGTGTCTTTTGTTTCCTTTTGGTATTAGATGCCTGGTTAAAGAAATTTTGGTACATCTACACAATGGAGTACTATGTAGCTGTTAGAAAAAAATGAAGTCCTGAAATTTACATACAAGTGGTACTAAATGGAAAATATCATGCTAAGTGAAATGAGCCAGAAAGAGAGGGATAGACATAGAAAGATTGCATTCACTTGGGTAACATAAAATAACAAAATAAGAGACTAACACCCAAGAACAGCTGTGATAAATACCAGGAAGTTCACTCCATAGCTTCGAGGCCAGCCGCACACTCTAGAGGTAAAGGTAGCTCAGATGGAGATGGAAGCACCAAATAAAGGGTTTGGGAAGATCCGCCCAGGACTGGAGCTGCATGCTGAAAGTAGACTCTAGACCGAACATGATTGCCACCCAATGCCTCTTCTGCAAACCAGAGCACCCAAAAGGAGAGAACAAAAGGGAGTGCCCTGCCACAGAGGCAGGGTGGCATGGGGGATGGGGGAGTGGGAGGGATACTGGGATTGGTGGAGAATGGGCACTGGTGCTAGGATGGGTACTCGATCATTGTATAACTGAAACCCAAGCACAAAAACTTGTAAGTCTACAACTGTATCTCATGCTGTTTCACTAATATAAATAAATAGCTAAATAAATAAAAATTGGGGTTACCATATCTAAACATTTTACAATTTTATGCAAGTCTCACTATTTGTTGTGAGATGTTACTTGGTCCACTTGTGCAAATCGATGAACAACAGGAGGATAGTGTTATACTTACAGTGTTACAAATAATTAAAAAATCATTCTTAATTGTTCTCACTAGGCCTGTCAAATATTGTTTTCTAGACAAAAATTTCTTGTATTTGAACTCACCAATTTTCATCTCATTTTCCCTTAACTGACTTTTTAGTCTCAGCTGGAAATTGCACACTTCTGGTTATTATAATAAAAATAATATGGTAATGATTTCTACACTATTGGTAATGTGTTTAAGTTATATAACAATAGAGTCATAATTTGATATAAAATATATAATATGTAAACTAGAACCTTGTTAAGCTTCTTAGTAAGCAATAAGTCCATTTTTTTAAAATTGTACTCCCTTCACAGTATATTAATTGGCTCAGGAGATGCAACTAAACTACTCAAGCTAATGCTGTCTTAGTTTTTATGTATTTATTTTGTAGCTGCAGGAATACAGTTATACTAACAATTGGATTGTAATATGAGATGAAGACTGGAAGCAGAGACTTAGATACATGTTAAGCTGTTATCAATACTAATTAGAAAAAGATTAGGTTTGCATGTTAGTAGTGTTAGTTTACATTTTCATGGTCTAGAGATGTGACTCAGTAGTAAGGTACTTGCCTTGCATGTGTAGATCCTGAGTTTGATCCTTCACACCACACACACACACGCAAAGTTACACAGTGAAGAATTACTGCTGCATTTATTTCATGTGATACTTGTATATTCATCCTTAAATTTTGTTCTTGTTTGTTATTTTAAAAATAAATAAAATATTTATTACATTATAAATGTTGAACTGGGCCACAAAAGTAGTTTTCTTTAGTTTTAAGATTGATAAACTGAAGATGTGAGAATGAATTGTAAGCTTGAAGTAAGATTTGCTTAAATTTTTTTTCCCAAGAAGAAAGACTGTCTTGTTTGATGGTAGCCAAAGACTGACTGAGCATTTTGGCTGTATTCCGAATTCTGCCACTGACTCACTGTGTTTTTTGGCAAGTAATTTAGCCTCCCTGAAACAAGTTCTTGATTCTTTACTTCTGTTTGTAAAGTTAGCATAATAATATTGTACTGACCTCAGATTGCTTGTGTAATGGCTTCCCACTTTAGAACTTTCCAGTATAAAAATAGTATGGATTTTCAGTGCCTTGCTCTTAAAAAAAATTTCTAAATTATTATTATTTTATTTTATTAGGTAAGTATATCAGGGAGACCATTTACATGCAAAACACAACAAACCCTTCTTTGTACTGTTAAAATGTGGCCAAGCGTTTTGAGCCTGATGAATTTTTAGTTATTTGCAACATACTAAGAACTACACATTGTAAAGTATAAGCAATCATTTTATTCATTTATTTTTTAGTGTCAGAAAAAAGAAGAATTTATTGAAAGAATTCAAGGTTTAGATTTTGATACAAAAGCAGCTGTTGCCGCACATATTCAAGAGGTAATTAAACTTGTTTATAATTTTATGTATTTTTATGAAGTTTATTTACATATTTTCTAAAATTCTCAAAGTACAGGCCAACATGAACTTTGCTTTTAATCATGTTTTCTCCTTTTTTTTTCCTTCATCTGTTCCATGAATTACCTTTTATTAGAACATTACTAACTGCAATGTACTGTCGCCTTTATCCTTAGGGACATAGTCAGAAAGTATTATTTGGGGAATGAAATGTGTGTCTTTGTTAGACAGCCCAGAATGAATAGTACAGTAAATGGAAGCAGCAGAAAGTGGATAACAGCCTGTAATTCAAAGCAGAAATGGGGTAATATGATAGACCTTAGTATTATGTCACTCCAGTTTTTCTTTAGAATTACTGGACAAAGCATAATATTTAATGAAGATATTACTTCAGTTATAAGCACATTAGTGATTTTCAGCATCCATATAAAAAACTTAAATCTAGAACACATGCACAGTGTCAAATAAGTAAGGTTAATGTTATTTGTCAAGAGTGATTCTTAAATCTGCTATTTTTATTATTTTTATATTGGCCTTTTAATCTCGTGAACTAAATGAGACTTTTTAGAAATAGAGCATATTAAATTTTATATGTTTATTAGAAAGAACTAAGGAAAGGAAAAGGAGAAAAATCTTAAATACTATTTGAAGTGTTATCTATTTAAAATGATTTTGTTTCGTGTATCTTATTCATGTTAACATTCCTAAAGCTCAGCTTTTTTGTCATATTTTTATGAATTGCATATTATTATGCTATGAGATAGAATTTGGCATATTCTTAAATACATAGACACATGTATATGTGTATGTGTATAAATATATTGTTTTTGACATTTAAAAATTACTATTTTTACTATACTAAGGTATTAGTGTTTAAAACTTGCAGTGCTGAGGCAGAACAGTGAGTAGAGTGTTTGCTTTGCCCACAGCTGACCTGGGTTTGATCCCCTTCCCCCAATCCCATATGGTCCCCCAAGCACTGCCTGAAGTAATACCTGAATGCAGAGCTAGGAGTAACTCCTGAGGATTACTATACGTGACCCCAAAACACCTAAATAAAACTTGCAGTGCTGCTACACCATGTCTACTACCACATAGGTGCCAAGGTCCCTCCCACCCCACATATGTGCACTCATGTCACAGTTCTTGGTGTTATCTTGGGATCGTTTTCAAAAGGAATTGTCTAATATCTTGCTTTGTTTCTTTATATTCTGCATGTGAGTGAGGAATTTGTTATAGATCTTTTTCTTTCTGACTTAGTACACTTAATATAACTTCCTCCAATTCTATCAGAGTTACATCAGATCACAAGATTTCATCTTTTCTGGGCCGGAGTGATAGTACAGTGGGTAGGGTGTTTGCCTTGCACATGGCCAACCCAGGTTTGATCCCCGGCATCCTATATGGTTGTCCAAGCACCACTAGGAATAATTCATGAATGCAAAGCCAGCAGTAACCCCTGAGCATTGCTGGGTGTGACCCAAAAAGAAAAAAAATTCATCATTTCTTATAGCTGAGTAGTATTCCATTACATAATCAAATATATACACCATAATTTCTTGATCCACTTATCTATTGTTGTGCACTCAGGACTTACTCCTGGCTCTATGTTCAGGGATCACTCCTGGTGGTACTCAGGGGACCATGTGTAGTGCTGGGGATCAAATTCTGGTCAGTAAGGCAAGTGCCCTACCTGCTGTGCTATTTCTCTGACCCTTTTCATGAGTGTGGAGAGAGCTATATGTAACTTTTTGGTGTAAATATATATATATATATAATACAGATATATGTGCATATGTATATACATTATATTTATAGAGAGATAGAGGGGGAGAGAGAGAGAGAGAGAGAGAGAGAGAAAGTTGAGATAAAATGTTGAGTACCCCCAGGAATAATTCCTGAGTGTAGAGCCAGGAGGAAACCCTGAGCATCACTGGGTGTGGCCCAAAATCCTAAATAAATAAATTAAGCAAAAATTCAGGATCACAGTGAGAAAGAAAAAGATTTTAATTCTTTTTAGTTTTTAAAATACTAATCTATGTATTGGAGTCTTTTTCTCCTAAGCTATTGTGACAATTATCTTCAGACTATAAAGATCTAGACACTCAGGTCTGAAAATGAAATAACACACATCTTATAGGATTAAAAAGTGTTTACCTTTGGATTCAAATTAATACATTTATTTATTTATTTGAGGGTTTTAGACCACACACACCTCGGAGTGCTCAGGTTGTTAGGCTTATTCCTGGTTTTGTGCTCAGGAGTTTTTCTAGGTGGAGATCAGGGGACCATATGGGGTGCTAGGGATTGAACCCAGGTCAGTATGTGTAAGGCAAATGCCCTGTGAGCTATATGATGGCTCCAGCCCCATTACTTTTATTCTTATTTAAATAAAAGTTAAATTGATATTTCAGGAAGTTGTTAGACGTTCTGATATTACTGTCCTTTATGAATATCTTGAAGTAAATTCTTTTAGGTTATTGAGAAATATATATACAATTAAAGCTACATTTATTTAAATAATTATAAATAAGTGACACACATAATAGTTCAGCTTGTATGTCAAAAATAAAGTTGATTTTTTATTAGTCTTTTTTTTGTTCATTTTGGTTGCTTTTCTAAAGGTAACTCATAATCAGGAAAATGTATTTGATCTACAATGGATGGAAGTAACTGATATGTCTCAAGAGGATATTGAACCACTTTTGAAAAATATGGCATTGCATCTAAAAAGACTTATAGATGAAAGAGATGAACATTCAGAGGTTTGTATAATTCTTTTACTATATTAAGAAAATATTGCTGTACTGTATGACTGAAATACAATCATGAACAGCTTTGTAAGGGTCTATTTCACAGTGATTCAATTAAAAAGTTAAAAAAAAAGAAATATTGCTGTCTACAACAAGAGAATAGTAGCTTAAGAGATTTTACAGTCACTTGGTTTCTTAGAAACAGTATAATAAAATACTTTCTGAAAAAAAAGTTCTTTAAAAAGCCTCAAGTTTTTAGTAAGCACAAGCAATTAGATTTTCTTTTCTCTTCCTTTTGTATTATTATTTTGATCTTGTATGCTTTTTAAGTCATCCTGATAGTTCTGGCACGGTGTAAAGTGTGAAACTGAAAATGTTGTTGATGTAAGTGGAAAATTACTGCCTTTGAGCTTAGGAATTTAAGATTAATTTCTTAGTTTTAATGCCACATTTTGAAGTTGGAAAAATAAATGTTAATAAAAAGTGAATAACAGGTGTTCTGAATAAAATGTCCCACAAACGTTCTCAAATTTTTGTAGCCAGTATAATGAGGTGTGATTTTAAAAAAGAACGAAAATTACTAAACGTTCTTTTAAGAGAGTGCTTTGCTTTTTTTAAGAAAAGAGTGTAATTGCCCCAGATTTTTTTGCTTGCATTCTGAAAGCAGCTTATGATTTGTAGGTAAGTCTAGACATTGGTGCATGTGGTGGTGAGTAATATTTTCTTGATTTTAGAACAAAGTACTTTGCCATTTGGGAGAATGTATAGCTTTGATCAGTTGTTCCACATGTATGGGAGCAACAGTTATAAGCTTATGAATAGGAAATTTGATTACTATTGGGACTAATGAAAGATTATGTAGTAGAAATTCCTGGAGTTTTTTTTCCCTCCCCCATACAGGGCTTTCATGATTCTGTGGCATGTATTTATTTCTTCTGGGAATTTTTTTTTCCTACAAGCAGTAAAAGTGAAGATGATAATGAAAAAGTAAATTTAGTATAATAAGGTTTTTTAAAAGTTAAAGATAGTGAGACCAAGGGAAAGAAAACTAGATTGAAAAATACCCCTGTTACGCTAGTGAGTATCTAAAAACATCTTGAGAAATTTAGATCACTTAATTTCCAGAGTTTTAAGCCATATGCTGTATCATTTCTATACATTCATGTCATTTTGTGATTTAACCTATTTTCTAGAATATTCTTCAGTTTGTATTTCAAGGTAGTAAAGATATTTTAATGAGATGTCCAGTGTTTATGGAGTTCTAAATGTTTTTAATTTGGTTTTATGTAAACTGATAGACCTGTATTATTATTTAATTTAACTTACATGAAGTGATTACTATGACGTGAAGGAGTGTGTTAGTTTGGAGAAATGTGAGAAAAAAAAATCTGTCAAAATTAAAAGAAATATGAAACTATATGGAGTGATTATTTAAAAACCTTTAAAAATCCATTACCTGACTTCATTATACACCGATAGCTGTATCAATTTTTTTAATAAAGTCACATTGTTTTTGCTCAGGTATTCAGGAAATACGTTACTGTTTGGTTAAAGCTTTATTTTACTTTTTCATTTGGTTTTTGGGCCATGTGCAGGCTTTCTTCTGGCTTTGCACTCAAGGAATTACTCTTGGTGGTGCTTCGGGAACCCTGCGGAATGTGGGGGATCAAACCATATGCAGGGCTTTGCTATCTCTCTTTTCCCAGGGTTTCAATTTAATTCTGTGTGGAAAATATTTTTCACTTGAGTGGCAGCATTTAGCTCATTATTAGAACTCATGTTTAACATGTATGATGTGCTGGGTCGAATTCCTACCCACATGCCTCTCCCAATTAGGTTTTTTTTTTTTTTGCTTTTTGGGTCATACCTGGTGATGCACAGGGGTTACTCCTACCTCTGCACTCAGTAGTTACTCCTGGCGGTGCTCAGGGGACTATATGGGATGCTGGGAATCAAACCCGGGTAGGCCACGTGCAAGGCAAACGCCCTACCCACTGTGCTATCTCTCCAGTCCCCAGATTTTTCAATTTGGGTCACCAATAAACAATTTATAAAGATAATTATAAAACATTTACATTAATACCTATGAAGTATAGTATATATATTTTTTTATTCTTTAATATGGAAACAATTCTTTTTTATTTTGCTATTTTAATTTTTTTATCGAATCACTGTGAGATACAGTTACAAAGATTTCATTATTGAGTTTCAGTCATAAAATGATCAAAACCTATCCCTGTACCAGTGTACATTTTCCACCACCAATGTCCCCAGTATCCTTCCTGTCCCCCCCCCCCACCCCACCCCTGCCTCTATGGCAGACAGTTTCCTTCTTACTCTCTACTTTTGTGGGCATTATGGTTTGCAATACAGATACGGAGAGGCCAGCATGTAGAAACAGTTATTTATTTAGATCTTCCTTTTAAAATTTTTCTGTTTTGATGGCTCTTTTATCACAATTACTTTTTCTTCAATCTAGAAAGTATAATTCGGTCACTCTGTAATTGCCCTTTTTTAATGCTTTATTAATACCGTGGAACAAGTAATCTCTCTAATCCTTTCCTTTAAAATAAAAAAAAAAAAATGGTCCTGAATCAAGGCTAGCAGTTTGCTAAAGCTGTTGACTTCAAACAGAAGCCAAATAAATGTCTTTCTACGGTCTTTTGACCATTTCACACTTTTGGAAATATAATGGTTAATTCATTAGAGACATTTGAAAAGCAATTTTTATAAAAATATATAATTGATATTTCTTTATTGTCACAGTTTATGACAGCTTTGTGTGACTTTTTTACATTAATTATCTTACCAAGTATGCAATCTAATCCAATTTTTTTGTTTTGATTTTTGGGCCACACCAGGCAATGCTCAGGGCTTACTCCTGACTCTGCACTTTGAACTTATTTCTGGAGGTGCTCAGGGAAGCTGGGGATCAAACCTGGGTCACTCACGTTCAAGGTGTGCAAAGACCCTAGCCACTGTAGTATCACTCCAGCCCCTATAATTCTAATTTTTAATTGAGAACACTTGAATTTAGAGAGGTTAACTAATTCATTGCTTTTGTTTTTTTCTGATAGTGTTTATTTTGTCTAGAATGCATGATTGTGTGGAACATATGTCTCATTTATTATTTTTTAGTGAAGTTAAATAGTTTTATTTAAAGAAATTTAGAGAAATGTGGGGGGGGGTGAAGAGAGAGATGGATCGGGAGAGGTGGTGGGGGGAGAGAGAGAGATTGAGAGAGAGATGTTCGAGAGATGACAGATTCCTCCGAAAGGGGTAGAAGCCCAAATTTTAAAATTATTTTCTTTTTTAATTCTCTAAGTTAGATGATTAGACCACTTGTTTGATTTTCCCTTCACATTGATGTGTCTTCAACATACATTAATAAATACCCGTTGTTAGTAAGGTCTTGTGCTGTAGAGTGCTTAAGAGCAACAGCTGCTGACAAACTTTCAAAAAATATTTGAAGATTATTATAATCTAACACTAGGGAAGTTTTTTCAATAAAATAATAACTTGAGAAAAATAACTATATTTAAATACTATAGGATTTAAGCAAAAAAGATGTTGCTGAAATTACTAGTGGAATATCTGTAATCAAAACGTTCAAAGAGGGCTCGGAGAGATAATACAGCCGCCTTGCATGCGGCTGACCTGGGTTTGATCCCCAGCATGCCATATAGTCCCCTGAACATTGGCAGGATAATTCCTGAGCAGAGAGCATTTCTAGGTATGCGCCCTTTCATCCCTCTTTCCCCCCCCTCAGAAGGAAAAAGGTTCAAATAAAGTTTATGAGATTAGGAGCCAGAGTGATAGTACAGTGGTTATAGCATTTGCCTTGCATGTGACTGACCCGGATTTGGTCCCTGGTACTCCATCAGCCCAGCCAGAAGTGGTCCCTGATAGTGGTGATGGAATTGGTGTTGAAAATTGTATGCTTGGAATTTGATCATCAGTGACTTTGTAAATCATGGTTCTATGAATAACTGTAAATCACCGTGCCTCAATTTAAAAATAAATAAAAAGAAAGTTTATGAGATTAAAGTTGCACTCTAAGAACATTTCTTTCATTTTTTAATTTTATTTTTATAAAGTTGTTCACAATAATTCATTACATTTAATATTCAAACACCAATCCCACCACCATGCACCTTCCCACTGTCATAAAAGGCAAGTGTGTGAAGATTGTTGATTTCATCCTGAAGTATTTAAGCCCTTGTGTAAGAAACTACAAGCATTTATAACATTTTTTTCATATAGACATTTGGAGGCCTTTCTACCAGCATTAAAGAAAAACAAATGTTTATATAATCTCTAATGGAAAATACCATAAATACCTGTGAATACTTAATTCTTAACACAAGGTTTCTTTCTTTTTTCTTTTTCTTTTTTATTATTAAAATTTTGGGGTATATATATGTAGATATAAAGATAATAGTTATTTTGTAATCCTTTGTTATCTGGAAACTCTTGGGGTCTTATTGTATTTCACTACCTACTCAAATGTAGTATGTGTCTTCAGTACTTTAATTCACTCTTAAATGTTTCTGAGCAGCTCATTCTGTAGTCACTACTATGCAGGATAATGTTAGATACAAAAGAGATAAGGAAAAATTTACTTGGTTTATTGATAAAAGCTACTTTATAACTGAAAAATTATAAGGTAGCATGTAATTAAATTATAATTTGTTTTTATATGAGACATGTATTAAATACTGTTGTTAGAGTCAAATGTTAAGAGGCAAGTTTGAATATAATTAAAACAACAAGAAAATTTGCAAATAAAAATTGGATCTAGTATAGGTTGAGTGTGGTTTGAGAGATTAGTAACATTTAGTATCAAATGAATATATATAATCCCCTGTCATTCAACCTGTGATTTGTAAACTAGTGCCTATCCACAGATTTCCTGGCCATCTGCCATGCTAGCTAAAAAATATAATTTTATAGCATTTGGTTTAATAAGTAAAATACTATCTTCATTGGTTTTATTTCATTATCAGCAAATCCCCAAAATTTTTCTCCCATTTCCCCTATTGGCAGGTGTATAAAAGATTGAAGGATATAAACAACTATTCAAAATGTACTGTTAAAAGAGAAATAGGTTGGTAGCAATAGGTCAATGATTCTTTTTCTAAGTTGAAATGTGCCTAGTGTGACTAAGAACTATATTTCCTCCATTCCCTTTCCTTAATTGTTTTGATGTGTGTGTTGGGTAGAAAGGATCGGTGTATACACTTATGACACCAGATCAGACAGTGGAGCTGTTGATTACACTCTGTCTGTATTTGGGGTGGTGCTGAAACTTGAAATCCTGGTCTCAGGCATGCAAATATGTGCTCTACCACTGAGCCATGTTCATGCACTCCTAAGAGACTTCAGTTTCATTTTTTTAAATTGGTAATTAAATATTTATTTGTAGTATCGTCTGACATTCAAAACATAATTATAAAAGTATCATTCTTGACTTGTTTTCTTTTGCCAACTTTTAATAATGCTTTTCCAACAGTTGTTCTCTATAAATGTTCTCAGGTCATAGGTTGATATATTAAAAAGCTAGGAATGGTACCAGTGAGGATAGTAAAGAAGGCAAGGCTCTTACCTTGCATGCAGCTGACTCATGTTCAATTCCCAGTTCACATATTGTCACCTGAATACCACCAGAAGTCACTCCTGAGTACAGAGCCAGGTGTAGCCCCTGACCACTTTGTGGGGTACCCACATAAAACCGGATCCAGGAAGAATTTTGAGATGAATATTGTCTTGATCAAGTTATATCTGCTAAATAGTTCCTTTATTAGCTAATAAGTGAAAATTTAATAACATCTAATTGTGTCAAATTTCCCCCCTTCCTGGTGTGGGGATCAGACTCTAGGCCTCACAAGCATAAGACGTGGTCTACCACTGAGTTGAATCCCAGCTAAAGTGATTACTGGCCACTGAATTCTTTTCACCATTTTAGTATGGTACTTAGATTCAGAGAAAAGTATTGATGTGTTTGGTTCCTCTATGATACAGATTACTAAAAGTGACTGTTTATTTCTGTATTTTTATAGACTATCATAGAACTCTCTGAAGAGCGGGATGGTCTTCATTTTCTACCCCATGGTTCTTCATCTGCACAATCACCATGTGGTTCTCCAGGCATGAAGCGAACAGAAAGTCGACAGCATCTGTCAGTAGAATTGGCAGATGCTAAGGCCAAGATAAGAAGGCTTAGGCAGGAATTGTAAGTTTTCAAGGCTTGTTAAATTTATATGGTCAAAAAAGTGACTTGAATAGTGATTTTTAGGGTTTGAAATAGTTTGAAATATAACTTGGTAGTTTCCAGTTGCTAGTATGTGTCAAAATTCTCACAAGTACTTGTCACAATGGAGATAAATAAATATTCTGGCATCAGGTTTTCCTGCTGTCAAATTGTACAAAATTAAAGGATTTCCCTTTATTTTGGAATTATATCCTTTCTATCTTTTTGCTATTAAAATGTCCCTTCTTTAAAAATAATGCTCTTGGCAAATTTGCTTCTCCTTAATGTTTTTATATTCCTTGAAGTTTGAAGTACTAGGAACCACTGATAGAAATAACTAAGTTAGCTTTTTAAAAATTCATTTTATAAAAGTGAATTATTTTAATATGGTGTTAAAAATTTTTTTGGTATATATCTTATGCATTAACTAAAGAAATGACTGGGTGATGTACTTACAAATAGTAAATATTAAAACTGAAAGATAATTAAAGCATATTTCATTTTCAAGTCACATTATAGAAAAGTTGCAATTAATATCATATATGTATTCCCTAGTGAATCATATGTAAAGATATGACCAATCTCTATTAGACTTTTTTTTTTCACTTTATAAAAGAACAAGGAATTTTTGTGTTTTGTACTTTTTTCCTTTATTTTTCATTTGTTTTGTTTTCTTGGAACTCAGGCTTCAGGGTATAGATTTTAAATTTAACGCCACAATGTGGCAATCAAGTTTATTTACTGATTGTTTAAAATGGTTTATGTATGCAAGGTAGATAAACTATACAGTCTATAGGAAAATTTGAAAACAAAAAATACAGCTTTCCTTGTGAATGTTCGTGTTATTATGTATCTATTGAAGTGAATACGCCCAGGATATTCTATAAACAGCTGCACCAAGAAAATTAGGGAAGAGATTGCTGTTATTACTTTGATTGACAGTTAATGGATAGCCTAAACAGTGAAGACTAGTTTGTTCCATATAATTTAGCACAATCTTTTTCAGTCTTTAGATAAAGCGTGCAATTAGAATTGCAGTGACGGCTGTGAATTCATTTGACATTTTGCACTATATTAGAATTTGATTTTTAAATAAGATTTGCTTAGCTGTAGAGTGCATTAAAATTCCAGACAACTTAGAAAGATTGATAAAATTTGGTCTCACTGATTTGAAAATGTAAACGAATATTTTAATGAGTAAATATGCTAAAGAGAGCAAGTATTTTCAGTAACTAGCATTTCTTGAAGTTATCACCAGATATTTTTTGTTGTCTTTTGAAAATGTTGTTCATACTTTCTTCTACTAACATTTGTTGTCTGGACTGATATTTATAAAAATGAGTAAGTGTAAAAATCACCAGCAGTAGGGTGCACGCGGTCACCCTGGTTGGATTCCCAGCATCCCATATGGTCCCCAAACATATGAAGTTTCTCTTGGGAAAATAGAATGTCTTGAAATTATAGTATGATGGTTGCACAATTCTATGAATGTACTAAAAATCACTGAATTGTACACCTTATTTGTCATTCACCTGTCTTTAGTATTTTTGAAAAATTATTATAGCTAGGGCAAAGTGTTTAAAACGATATTAAAATTTATGGTCTTGGTGTACACATTTACAAGCTTAGTGAATTGTATTCTTTAAAGGATAAGTTTTTTCAATTTACCATTGAGCCAGATGTGTGACTTAATGGTAGAGTGCCTGGCTCACATGCGGTAAGAACTCAAGTTCAATTCCCAGCTTGCTGAGTGTGTCTCCAGTGGTACTGTGCCCAAAAAGCGTTTGATCTGTTGAGCAACAAAACCCCATGTATATGCAAGTACTGCAACCAAAGTACATGACACCTAGGAAGCACCACAAACAAGCATATGACCCCCTTTCTCACAATGACAACAAAAAAGGAACAATAAGGGGAAAACATATTTTTAGATAAAACGATGAATGTTCTGATGTATGAAGTATATATCAAAGGTATTATTTTTAAGTAGCTGTCACTTATTAACATATGCACCAAATATATTAAAATATGCAAAGCAATTATTAACGATCTAAGAGTGATATTGACAGAAATACAATTATAAGATTTTAGCACCTCATTAACAGCCATGCATAAGGAGAAAGCTCCCAAAACAAGGATGCTTAAAGGTCAAAAGAATTATTAAAGAATCTCTGATAGTGTCAACTAGGATATATAAATAAAATTTATAAGAAGTTATTACCTTCACCACATTACAAATTATATATACATATGTATACATATTTTTAAATTGTTTTTATAGTGGGGAGGGTTTGGGCCACCCCAGCAGTGCTGAGGATCCCTGGCTGTATGCCCAGAGATCACTCCTGGCAGGACTCAGGTTGCTGTATGTGGTGCTGGGGACTGAACCCAGGTAAGCTGTGTGAAAGTCTTAAACTTCACTATTGCTTCATCCCTACTATATTTTTATTCTGTATATGGAGCGATAGCACAGCGATAGGGCGTTCGCCTTACAAGCGGCCAACATGGCCGACCAGAGTTCGATTCCTCCGCCCCTCTCGGAGAGCCCGGCAAGCTACCGTATTCGATATGCCAAACACAGTAACAACAAAGTCTCCAATGGAGACGTTACTGGGCCCGCTCGAGCAAATCGACGATCAACGGGAGGGCCTTACCTTACCTTATTATATATAAAAAGTAATTATACTTTTATGTATTACTCATAAACATTTTTGCTATTAACTAATTTGCATATTTTCATTACTCTTTACTTATTCATTATCTTCCACTAGGTACAAAACAGCCTGAACTATTTTTATTCACCAATATTTTATTGGTTTTTTGGGCCACACCCAGCAGTGCTTGGGTTACTCCTGGCTCTACACTCTTGATGGGTCTCGGGATCAGATGGGATGCCTGGATCAAACCTGGGGCAGCTGCATGCAAAGCAGACACACTACCTGCTGTACTATTGCTCTGACCTTTTAGGTCACACTGTTTGATGGCACTGTTTAACATGCCTCCAGCAATAAATGTGGGCTTTATATTTTACCTGTAGTTATTATAGCACTTTAAAAAAATTATAGACATCCTCACTAATTCTGTATGATGTTGCAGATGAGAGGGGAATCAGGTTTGTTAAAGCAGCTACAGTGATAGAAATGAACTAACTTTAGATCCTACTGAGGTTGCCTATTCTACTGCAGAGTAAAAACAAATAATGAGATCATGATGCGTGTCACAAGATGTTTATTGCAGTTTCTTTCCTTGCTCCCTAATTCCCTTCTTTTTCTCTTTCTATCTTTTTTTTTGGCTTAAGTTTTATATTGGTAAATTTTTTTTGAAATTTTAAATTGTTCAACAGAAAAAGAAATAAATAAAACTTGTAATCCTACTGGGTGTGAAGTGAAAGCTCAGTGTGTTTTTAACTTATGATTTGTGAGAATTGATAATGTTGAACATTTTTCATGTGTTCATTAGTCATTTGTATATTTTCTCTGGAAAAATTGTTATTCACATTCTTTGTACTTTTTAAACTGACTTATGTGATTAACTTAATTTTTGATTGAATTATAATTGACATAAAAGGCGTGTATAAGTTTGCATTCATATTATACATAGTTACAAAACCATTTTTGTTGTCATGAGAACTTGTTTTTTGGTAGGAGTACTGCTATTTATTCAGCCACTGATTAGCTAATTGAATTGGGCATGAACTCCGCCTTAATTTTTTTAAAATTTTATTTATTTATTTTTTCTTTTTATATTTATTTATTGAATCACTGTGAGAAAAGTTACTAAGTTTTCAGGTTTAAGTCTCGGTCATAGAATGATCAAACACCTTTCCCTTCACCAGTACTCATTTTTCACCACCAAGAACCCCAGTATACCCCCCTCCCACCCGTCCAAATGCCTGTGAGGCAGATGATTTCTACTTAACTCTTCTCTACAGTGATTGCATTCACTATTTCAACAAAAGATGCACCATTATTGTTTAGAATTTTCCCCCAAACAATCAGAATTGCTGAAAAGGCATTGTGAAATATTTTGTTTTCTATAGCTGGTTATGAGAATCATATAATGTCACGCAGCCATGATTTTGGATTTCTGCAAAGAGCCAGATAATTATGAGAATGGTTTCTGTGTGTCTGGTGTTATGCCCATGCTGGAGAGCCACTCGTGGGGGGTAACTCGTGACCTTGGTAGGGTGTGAAGGACGTGCCGGTACAACCCCCCCCTTCCCATGAGACTGCAGTTGCCCCATCACTGCCGGCTCGTACCTGGCTTTCCTGTAAGCTCTGAGGTGGCGTCCACCTTGCTGCCAGGGAGGGAAAAGGCGGAAGGGAGCAACACCCTTTCCCTCCCAGGGAGGCATGGCGCCAGAGTTTAATACATGGTCCATTCACTTTTCTTCTGCAAGCTGTTGGGCTCTGGACTAAGTCCTTTTGCCTCTGGAGTCATGGACGTGCCAGAGAGCCGCCTGTGGGGGGCAACTCATGACCTCGGTAGGGCGTGAAGGATGAGCCAGTACCGTCCCCCTTCCCATGAGACTGCAGTTGCCCCTTCACCGCCGGTTCATACCTGGCTTTCTAATAAGCTCTGAGGTGGTGGCCACCTTGCTGCCAGGGGGAAAAAGGTGGAAGGGAGCAATACCCTTTCCCTCCTGGTGAGGCATGGCGCCGTAGTTTAACGCACGGTCCATTCACTTTTCTGCCACAAGCTGCCAGGTTCTGGATTAAGTCCTTTTGCCTCTGGAGCCATGGCCATGCCAGAGAGCCGCTTGTCGGGGGTAACTCGTGACCTCAGTAGGGCATGAAGGACGAGCTGGTACTGCCCTCCTTTCCATGAGACTGCAGTTGCCCCGTCACTGCTGGCTCATACCTGGCTTTCCAATAAGCTCTGAGGTGGCGGCCACCTTGCTGCTGGGGGCGGGGGTGGGAGGCAGGGGACAGAAGGGACCAACACCCTTTCCCTCCTGGGGAGGTATGGCGCCATAGTTTAAC